TAGGGTTTAGGGTTTAGGTGCTGTAAAGCCGGAGCTTACCAAAAAAAAACTAAAAGCCCCTAGAAGCCAAAAGTTGTAAATTGGGAAAGCTCCTTCCAAGGGAGTTTGCCCTAAACCCTAAACCCGAAAATCCTAAACCCTGAACCCCCCTAGGACCCTTTGGGCCGTTGACGCTTTGGGTCTTGTGGTCTTTCAGGGATCTCACCCCCGGAACTGTTAGGCTCTAGGGGCCTTTTTGGGGTTTAGGGTTTAGGGGCTTTTTGGGGTTTAGGTCAAAGGGGTTTAGCCGCGGGGCTGCGTGAAGGACCAACGGATTGCGAAACCAGCGCAGCGAAACGTGCCATGGCCCAGGTTGGTGTGATTCTGTCGTTGCTGGTCTATGGACTGCTGCAGGAGCGTGGCTCGGACCCTCTTTGAGGAAGGGGCCCAAGGCCTCTTTAGAACCCTAAGCCCTAAACCCAGGGCCAAAGTTGGAGGTTCCTTCTTCGGGATTGAAGCAAAGGGATGGGAAGGCCCTCCTGGACCCAAGCCCTGAACCCTAAACCCCAAACCCTATAAGCTGTGACATAAGCCGCAACCCCACACTTCAAGCCCAAAGCCTCAACCTTGAAACCCTAAACCCTAGCCTTTCGACCCTGGACCTCACACCCGACACCCCGAGACCTAATAACTTCCTGCCAACTACAGGGGCCTTACTCCTAGCTCATATTACTCCTTTGGGGTTCTTACAGTAATACAAGGGGTCGAACAATTGCTCATACTCTTCCTTGCATTCGTGCTTGATACGGAAACACACCCCAAAACTCGAGGCTCCTGCATTCTAGTCTGCCCACGGCCCAGGCATAATGACAGAGTCTTACAACAACCAGGTGCGCACTGGCTGGAATGACTTCTGCATGTGCACTAGCTTTTTCACTTTCTATTTCTTGGGAATATTTGTGCTTTTGCATGAGCCTCTTTTGTCGTAGACGCCAGCACAGCTGCAGACTCATGCACGCGACCTGATTCTGAATGCCTTCAACCGAAAACCCTAGAATGTAAGATGGTCTTTGTGACTTCTGCACCCTAAACCCTGAAGCCGTGTGGCCCGCCAGGGAAGCCTTCCCACTATCTGCAGCCTTTCCCGAGGCAAGTCAAAAGGAAAAGGCGCTAAGCCCTGGCTTTATACCCTAAACCCATGCACCCCAAGACCCCTAGACCCCTAGACCCCCAGAGCCCTGGACCCCAAGCCCCGCAAACCCCTAAACCCCAAATCCCAAGCTCTCAACCCCAAGGCACCCCGTACACCCTGAACCCTAAACCCTAAACCCAAAAGCCCTAAACCAGGGACAAAGCGAGCCACAACACCTCTTTCCAAACGAAAGCAGGTCTTCGACTCCGCTGTCTTCCTTGTCTTTTGCCAGGGGCCTTGGGACTCAAGGTCTATCCCGTAGACCAGAAGTTTTCGGGTTTTTTAGTGATTTTGGTTCAGGGCTTACGAGTTCCTTATGTAACGAAAACTTCCTATATTTCTCCGAATAAGTAGATCCTTTGAGTGTGAGTTAGAGGTAGTGCGAACCGCGCTTGCAGGGTTTCCTCTACTGGCAAGCCCTGAATGTCCGGTCGCTTATGATCTGTGACTTGCATGCTTCCAAATAAGAGGAGAGTTTCAAGCGAGGTCTGGGGGGTCCGTGGTTCAAGGCTTAACGTCGGGGGTTCAGGGTTCAGGATTTGGGACTCTGGGTTCGGGTTGATGAGTTTGTCGGGTTTAGGTCCTAGACTGCAGGGTGAGGAGCGACTGCGGACCTTCCGCGGAGAATGCTAGACATCCTCCTTGCGCAGTACCTGAGACTGAGGCATTGAATATCATCGCGATAGCAGTTTCGCCTTGGTAATATGCCATATGTGTGAATCGCCGCATCCCTTGTCGCATACTGGCATACGCAGTCCCTAAACTCCCGACGTTAGCCCGTGAACCCCTAACCCTGAAACCCAAAGTCCCAAACCCTAAACCCCAGCCCCATCCAAACTACCAAGCGCCTAAATCCCCAAGATCTCATCCCCTAAGCCCTAAACCCTTCAGCCCCTAAAACCTGAAGCTCTAAACCCTAAACCCCTAAACCCAAAACCTTAGAAGAGCTTCACGAAGGCAACCGCTCCCTCGGAGTGCTCTGTGGTATGCTGGTGGTGCTCTGGCAGAGGGACTGGGTCTCGACGCTGTCGGGTTTGGGGTTTAGGGTTTAAGGATTGAGGGTTTAGGGTTTAAGGCGTTGTGGCCCGAGCGAAAGTAGAGTCGGTTCTGCTCCAGCAGTTCCCCGGCCTCTTTTTCGTCCTTCCCAACCCTAGCTGCAATAGTGTTCGCACGCGCAGCGACGGCTCCTGAGCAGTGTCGGAGCCCAAGCCTCAGCGAGAGGCTTCCGCCATACGCTGTCTTTAGATAGACCGTCTGGCCAAGCAAAGCCCTGGGATTTGGGCCGCTCCAAGAGGAGCTCCTGTATCGCTCGTGGCCCTATACGCTGCCTTTTACTAGGCCGTCTAGCGCCCCAGCGACAGCAGGTTTGTGGATGTTTCAACGTGGTGCCTATCTCACGATCATCCCCTTGTTATTCTTGGGTATATTCTTAATCTGGGCAGGTTCGGGCTCCGACTTCAACCACGACGCGCTCTCAGCGACCTCGCAGTCCCCCCTGGCATCGCCGGGAGAGACGAGCCAGGGCCGCCGCGAGATATCGGTTGCGCCAAGGCGTATACAGCTATACGGACTGGATCCTATTATCCAGCCATCACGGAAGCATGCCGCCCAGTCAGAAGCCGACTGGCCAGGCTGTTGCGAAGCCCCAGAAGGGGAAAGGCAAAGGATCCGAGACGGAGTCACAAACCTCGAAGATCGAGTTCGCTTTACCGCCGGCTATGGTCACCTCTTTACAAGCAATCACTTCGCGCTCTACTCAAGACTTGTGGGGAAACCCCACCAGCATCCCCGGCGACCTGAGTGTCGAACAACAGGCACAAAGACGTGCCTCAGCTGTGGGGAAACTTTCGAAACGCATTTCTGGAAATCTGCGTGCGAAGGACGAGCTACGTGCCTCTCTCCAGCAATGGGTGATAACCATAGCCATTCACCTCGCTGGCTTGGTTCAAAGAGTTCGTGCCCTGGGAGAGAAAGTGGATATGGATTTGACGGAGGCCCTCCGCGAGATGAGGGATGCCCTCCATCAGCAGCCCTCTATTACCACATCGGAGCAGGTGTCTGCGGCCACAGAGGCAGTGGGCCGGCCAATCTGGAGTCAACTGCAGGAGCACGAGATTTTTCGTGTGGTTTCCGCTTTGCGCGCGTTTGGTGTTGTGGAAGCCCCTCAGCGTGGCATGGAAGCGGGCTCCGAAGTCAGTTTTGGGTTGGCAACAGCAGCAATGCCGTCACCCGAGGGCATGGACACAGAGTTAGGCGGACCCTCGGATTTGGGCCTGCCAGTCGGGGCAAGATCGGTTCCCGAGGCTGGTCCTCTTACTGGGGCGGAAGTTGTTGGTGGCCTCAGAGCTGCCACTGGCCGGCCTCTGGACGCCAGCGTGATTCCAGGAGGCGGCGATTTTGTATCGACATCCCGCCCTTCGAGGTGGAGGAAACGCAGTGGGACGGAAACCAGCCGGCCGTCCAAAAGTCCACGCAGGGACATTTTGTCCGATGTTCCATGGGCGCTCCCTGCCAGGCACTACCCCAGAGGCTCTACAGCGACCACAACAGACTCAGGTGGTGGACAGCTCCGAGCCTGCTCATCCAGACCTTGGCGGTATGTCTTGGGAGGCTGCATGGCTGCAACTACTACAATTTGCCACCGAACATGGATCAGCGCTGGTGGGCGAGGTGATTCGCGACCCACAGCAGGACATGGTGCTTCCCCTCCAAGACCAAACCCCCGAGGATCGCAGCGAAATATTGGAGGCCGCAGAGGATACCTGGTTGGCTATGTTGGCAGCCTTGGACATACAGGAACCAGGGGCTGTCCATACACTGTGTGTTCGAATGCAGGACCTCCTCAGCAGGCTACGAATGTGCCCGAGTGCTGTCAGTGGTGTGCGGCAGGGGATCATCCTGCTTGCTCAAGTCACGTTGGGCAATCTGCTAGACCCTTACTCCTATGCTCCCACCACGGCGCAGGAGTGGCTCTTCCCGACAGCTATTGCAGAACACGGCTCTCTGGCCAGAGGTCACATCGCCACACAACCCTCCGCTGCGCAAGCGATGCGAACTCTGCTGTCGCGAAGGTGCCCTGCTCTCTTGCAGATCCCGGAAGATGGATTCTCAGACCAACTTTGAGACTGTTAATGCTGGCCTTGTGGGTTGGTATAGTACTGACGCCCCCTTGCGGTCGAATTCTCTACGGCCGGGCCATGTGCAACCAGTACCTCGACTCCGAGTGACGTCACCTTCGCCGATGTATTCCAGTCTAATGAGTCCGGTTGTACAGATTGGTTCTTTACTTCTGTACAGGGGCCAGGAAGTTAGAGTGCGATGTCGTGTACATACCAGCCCTTTTTCAGGGAGCTGCAATTGGAATGCCCGGCCTGGTCCTTGGATTTCCTCCTGGCTCCACCTTTTTTCCCGATTGTTGATGGGGTTGCGGGGCTTTCCGAGCGCTGAGCAACTTGAGGGAGTGAGCTGGTCTGCTGTCACTGGGGCCGTCGGTGGCAGTGCGTGGGCGACCTATTTGTATCGCATCTCAGGTCAATTACATTCTGCTTGCGGGCTTCCTCGCAGCCGCGAGAGAGCACTCGAGTGTGGTCGGTCTAGGGGCTCTTTTAATAGCCGTTGCCCTCCATTTAAGACTCGACAGCGAGCTGCCTGCATTTTGTGGTTGTTACTGTTTCCTTGTCAAGGCGTGCAGATCTGGCAGCAGGGGTCTCTTCAGGGACAGCCAGTGTTCACCACCAGTAGTGTTCAGCCTGCCGCTTCGGTTCAGGACCTTCGGCCTGTCAGAACGCCCAATGCGCCTCTCCTTGAGCCGGCCCTCAGGACGGGACCGCAGGCTCTCCGCGCGATTGGTGTTTATATGCCTCAAGAGTCGGCTCAACCGACCGTGCTGATCTCGGATGATCGCGCCCACGGTCCGCTTCTGCATAAAATGGTTTGTTCCGCTTATGGATTGGCTGAGTCTGAGTGGCAGCTCCGCAGATTAGTTGAGGCCCTGCCGTCACTTCCGCCGGAGCAGTACGTACTGTCACCCGCTCAACTTCCATGGGATCAAGTCTTGGTTCCGGTTGACTTGCGACCCCTTGGGGGCAGGGTTCGGCTTCAGCTGGCTCACCGCTGCTTGTCTTGCGGTGACGTTGCCCAGCGGGCTATACAGTCTCAGCAACTAGGACCCTGCCCAGTTACCTTATGCCGCACAAGCCAAGGATGGTTCCACCCTACCGCACGTCTTCTGCTGCTGGCTTATGGTGATGCCTTCCAGGTTTGGCCTATGCATAAGGTTCCGTCGTCAGCCCTGACATCCCAGGCTGAGGAGGACGACGCACCCGCCACGTTGGAGGACCGGTTTAGCACCAGCCTGTCATTGCCCACTACAGGAGAGTTGGCCTTTCATGATCTAAGTGGTGCAAATGCCGTCATCCTTCATGCACACGGACACACGTACGCCTGTGTTCCCTCGTATGCCGACCATCTTACACTTCGATCGTCGGCCTTGAGCGCTGTTGCAGCTGATTTGCAGATTCAGCCAAGAGGACGACTCTGGTGTGCTCGCCTTCTTCCCCCCTTGGACCGCATGCCTGCCATTCAATTTGTAGCGGCATATTGTGAGGTCGGGGAGGTGCTAGGAGTTGTTGATCTTCGTCCGTCTGATGGTGGCGTTCATGTGATCCAGGTGCGGGAAGGTGCCACACCGGCTGAGCGTATTGCGGAAGCTGTTCAGCAACACGGTGAGCCATCTGGCGGCACGCCGCTAGCTGCGGGGCTTGCTCAGGGCCTGCTGCAGGTCTTGCATAGGGAACATGTGGTAGATCCATTCGCGCCTCTCAATGCCGCCCCGCCCGCTCCGGTTGTTGTTCTTTGGCGCCGAAGTCATCTGGCTTCGGGTTACAGGGATCCCCAACTGCCTGGGGAGGATACTGAGGTTCATGCCGAGGTGACACTTGGAGCTGCGATAGTTCGGGGTGCTGCACCTTCCTCCGCTACTCGATCTTTCGGTTGTTGCACTTGGGGCCCCCTTCTCGGCCTCCTGCTTGCGGTTCCACGATGGTTACCTCTGCTGACTATTCCGTACATCGTCTCTTGTATGCACGAGCATGAAGCTGCGGTGGAGGTCTTCCAGCCTATGGGAGACAGCCCCTGGTCTGTGGTTGTTCAGCACCCAGGTCTTGCGTCTGCTGAGGAACACGCCACATTAGGCAGGAGCCTACCTTCGATAGATGCCAGAACGACCCTTTGTCTCTCGGTAGATGACAGAGCTGGTGTGCCGGAGTTCCGATTCTGCATTTGGAGCCCTGGTGATAGGACTTGCTTCTTTCTGCCGGGGGCCAGTAAACCGGTGATCTTGCGTGAGCGCCTTCTTGAAGCTAAGGTTCGCCTTAGTCGAGGTGACTGCTTAGTCTGGGACCCATTGCCGGCGGACCGTGGGTTGCACTTCGTCGCTACGGCCCAGGATCCCGCACTTGTCACGGTCATTGCCGATACGGGCCGTGAGCACCTGTGCCTGGATGTTCCTCGTGTTCGTTTCGGCACTGCTCTGCTTTCGGCTGTGCAGCTGCTGTGCCCGGAACGCTGCTTTCGAATCACGGAAAACGTTCGGACTCCTGTTCGACACGGAGATGTCATTCGGCTTTTCGATGAGCCGATTGCTAGCTGCCGAACACCGCAGTTCTATGTACCCAGGTTTACCTATCCGCCCTCCTTGGAGCCGGGAACACAGCTAGTTTACATTGCTTCTGTGGACATGGGACTGATTCGACTCAAGGTCCCTTGGGGGGTCGATATTCACGCTCTGGAACGAGCACTTATCGTCTGGTTGGGCAGACAGCGTTGTCTTGGGGTTAGGCTGCACAAGCTTGACTTGGATGTTTCCGTTCCGGTTTACTGCTTGCCGCGCAGGGGGCGCAGTACACTTGCCGTTGGACTGCTCGACCTCGCTGATCCCATCATGGACACCATTGTGCATGTTGTTGATGCTGACGAGTCGGTTGAGCTTGACTGTGAGATTCTTCGTGAGCCCTGGCGTACGGCCTCCCTCTTTTGGAATGATATTCTAGAGAGGGAGCCGGTGTGTGTTGCTTGTTGGCACTCTACGCCGGTTGATTCTGCCGGTGGACCGCGCTTCCGCATGGTGGCTCTAGGCCTTGATGTGTGTCGTGCGCTGGGTGCCGGGTGGCAGCCGCCAGTCCCCAGTGTGGTCCCAGATTATGACCTGGTCATTGCTGCTGAGCACCTGGGCATTAGTTGGGGTTCCGGCCTACTAGCCGCTAGCCGACATGCCTCTACCCAAACTGTTGCGACGCACTGGCCTATGCGAGCGTCACCTCTGTTCTCCTCAGCGATGCCTGTGCCGCGCAGGGCTGAAGGCTGTTCATTTGACGAAAAGTACGGGGCGGAGGGCACCCTCTTCCATCTGGAGTGTTCTCATATGCATGTGCGCTGCACTGTTCCGTGTGTTGCAGGTCGGCACATTTGGGCTCTCCGCTTTTGCAATTGGGTCCGGGCCGCGTGTACTACTCGTCTGAGCTGGGACGAAGTGCTGGAGGTGGCTGGCCTCTCCTATTGTGATCTGCCCGGTACCAGTATTCACGGCCCGGATCAGCTCTGGTCGTGGCCAGAAGATGTTGTTTCCCTCTCCGGTCAGTGTGGTCATGTTATGCACAGCGGTAGCGGCCCATATCTTGAATGCATCTACTCGGCTGACCCTCGCCCGCCGCCGACCCCTGCCGCTCGGTCCCACGGTCATCGGTTGGCCTTGTCCTGGTGGCAGCTTCCGTTTCTTGCGATTGTCACTCGAGGTCACGCTCTTTATGGGGGTGCCAGCCTCTTGTTGGCTCTCACCACCGCCCACGCTGCGAGTGACACTAATGCCTCCGACACCCCGTCTGCTCTACACAGCTCCAGCGAATCTGAAGGGCTTGCGGCTATGACTAATTCCACTCCCAGTTGTAGCTCGGCCTGGTGCCATGAGCTCTCATGTCAGAGCACTCACTTCACTGTTAACTCTGCTTCGCTTGCGGAGTATTTCACTGCCTTTTCTCCGACCGAGCCGGTTCGTGTTCAGCTCTGGAATCCCTTCGAAGGCCCCTCCCTCTTCGATTTCCTTCGGACTGAGTCAGCCACGGCTCTGCACTCCAAGTTGTTAGCTGCCGGGCATGACCCGTCGAGGCGAGTCTTGTACGTGGCCTTCGACACTCAGAGCACCGTGGTTGACTTGGTCTCAGTTCCCCCCAACAGTGGCCGTTGGTGGATTGTCCGTGACGGGTTGTCCAGGGAGCTGCTGCGCCCTGTCACCACCTGGGTTGACGAGAATCGTCGATCGGTTGTTACTTTGAACTCGCGTGGCCAAGCTGCGAGTCTCGCTACTACGCCTGAGACCGTGGCGTTATACCACCTCCCGCAAGGAGCGCGTGGAGCTACTGCCGCTCCTTTCACCCGAGTCTATGGACACATGACCACGGCTGGGATTGCTCTTGTCGAAGCTGGTATAGGTGTGGTTTCAGGTGCTAGACCACGCTTGTCACTCATAGCGGGTACTCTTATGCTGTTCGCTGTGCCTAGCCAGGCCATGATGCAGGGTCAGGTGGTGCCAACAAGCTCGCAAGCTCTCTGGAGTAATGCCCAGCCACCGCCTCAGCATACTCGGATCTGGACTCACACGCTTGCTGCCCCCGTAACCGTCGCTTACTCGCCAGAGCCTAACCCTGCTCGACTTGCTGCTGCAGTTGCCGCTACACAGCGCGGTCCCAGGGGCGATGGAGTCTTTGATTGGACGGTCCCGCGGCAATACGGGGATACCGCGCATATCATTCACTACCCTGCCGGTCTTTGTCCGCCCTTTGTCTTCTGGCTGCTGCATTATCGCGGCAGGGGCGCTGTTATTTGCGCTACTCCAGGGCATGTTGACTGGCAGTATTTAGCGCAAGAGGCCTCGGAAGCATTTTCCTCCCCGGGTTTTATGCAAGGTTCCTTCGGTATTCAGCATAATGGGCGGATATTTGCCTACGGCTCTGACCTTGTGACGCCACCTCACGGCACCATCCTTCACTTAGTTCGTATGGGGGCTCGGGCTTCTTCCGGTTCTGCTGGTAACGTTTGGGAGGCCCCTGCTGAGCTTCACTGGATACCTCAGTTTGAGTATAATCTCTGTTTGGGTCCCGGAGGTGAAGCCCCCATATGTGATGGCCTTCCTGGTAATCGTGCAGCACCGGGCTCGGGTGAGGAATTGCAGGCCTCCCTGTCTTACATGCAGCACCTGCTAGGTGGGCTTGAACAATCAGTCGAGCAGTGCCATGCGGCAGCAGTCGCACTTGCTACTAGCCATTCTGCCACCGACTCCGTGCCGGCGACAGCCAACGGGGAGGGCCCCCCCGCATCTTCCGCATCTTCAGCAAGCCCATCCTATGGGGCGAATTATGTAGTCCAGATGTGCTTTGTCTTGGTTCTTGGGATTGGTCAACAGAACTTAGCTGGCTTGCTGGTGTATGGCTTAGCTTCCTTCGCTGTGTCGTTTATGCGGACGATTCTGGCGACGAAGCACCTGATGGCCCTACAGAGCCTAGCTCGCCTGACCTCCTTGACCTACAAGCTCCCACCCCTACGGGCTCCATCGAGTTTGGTTCAGAACCGACGGTTGGTATTATACAACGCCCGAGTGATTCGCCCTTCGCTCGCACTTCTGCTCCGTTAAGAGGTGACGTTGAGCCACCTTTTAGTCCCTTCGACCTTGCCAGGGTCCCGAACATACAGCGTGTTGTGGCGGCTTGCCTCAGTGATGTTGACACTGAGCACTCAGCTGAGCCACTTATTCCGGCAGGGTGTCCGTTCACTATTCATAACCCGTTTACGAGCCGCTCTCAATGCAAGGTCATGTCAGAGGTTATTTCTTCTCCTCAATCGCTTCGGACTGTCCTGTCAGATTTCTCTGCCCGCAGAGGATGGCAACCTCTTGTGACCCTTAATCCACAGTCGGATTCCCGCAGCGTTCATCTTCTGCCTGCAGCTGCTGATCCCGCATTAGCATCGGTCGTGCTTCGCACAGGCACAAACCTTCAAGCCTTGTGCCTTTCCCGTACCTGGCAGGGAAATCCTTACAGGAGAATCGCACTTCAAGGAAGACATGGGCGGTTGCGTGAGCCCTATAGCGTCTCCCGTGGCATTGGCGGGTCCGTTACTTTTCGAGACGGCGACTGCTTGCATGCGGATATGGGACCGTTTGGACCGCCACCGCCCACACCGGCCACTTCGGGTGCACGCTCTCGTCACATATTACTGTGGTTGGCAGCTGCCTTGAGCATTACACGAGGGGATCTGGTCTCCCCCTGGGGTCCCTTGCTCTTGGTTACGTATACTTGGGCCGTTCAACTTGTCCCACCCGCGCCGGATGGAGTCCCAGTCACCAAAGTGTCTGTTAGTCACTACCCCTGGCGAGAAACCCTTGAACGTCAGACGTTGCGTCTTGTCTGTCGGGATCGATGCTGTCGGGTATCTCTGCTCTGCCCCTGGCGGGGCCCTCAAGGGTTGTACCACACTCCACCCCATGCCATGCTGCAGGATGTTTGGGCCCATTACGCTGAAGAAGGCCGTCCACACGAGTTGGTGCCGATCTGGCCCAGCCTAAGTGCAGATAGATTGTGGTTAGTCCCTCGCGCACATATTGCCGGCGCCCTTGTGTGTGTTGTTGCGTGGCAGGGCACCAACATGCGTGCCCTAGTTCTCCCAGCTCGCATCGCTCCTTCAAGACTCTCTCAAGTGGTTCAGTACCTGACCGGCTGGGAAGTTGCTGAAGTCCGGCTCCCGCTAAGCCTGCAGGCTCGCCTTCCACTCCCGTGTGATATTCCCTGTATTCTGAGAGACGGGGACGTGCTGGATGCGGTTTCCCCAGGCAGTGAGCGAAGCAGGCACGTTGCGCGTCAACCTGCTGAACTTAAGAGCAACGTGCTATGGACCCGAAATATCTTACTTCAGCACCCTACCTTCGTTCGCATATGGTCGCCGCGCATCCGGCCCCCTATTCTTCTGTGCATTGCGGCCGGAGAGCATTGGGATCCGGTCGCCATGTCGTTCTCTGGCACTTTCCGGGCCAACCATCCCGGACGATGGGTGCCGGTTCCCTGGGCACCTTGTCGTCTTCCTCATTTTGTCCAGGCCTCTGAGGATAATGAATGCGCGAATGTGCTGTTCGAGGAACCGTGTGGAATACACTGTGTCACCTTTGATCGGCAGGTTACCCCACACGATATCACGCAGGGGACTTCTGAGCACAGTCGAGGGGTGCGTGTTTTGGGCAGCCCACACATTGGGGCGCACGCTCCCCTTGACCTCCGTGACGGCGATGTCGTTGTGACAGGGCCTTTAGGATTCTGCCTGGCCGGACCTCCGAAGCCGAGCGGCGCTGGGAGCTACCCACTGGCTTACTCATTTTCTTGTATGTGCATCTTTACGGTCTTGGTCCTGGATATGCCACGCGGGCCTTGGGATTGTCAATGTCTTCGCTGTCCGATCCCCGGTGGCTCCTCACGTTCATGGCCGATCTCGGTCCCCCACAAGGGAAGACATTTCACGCTGCCCCAGTCCACGCATTGGCTACTGGCGGCCTGAGCGCAGCCACCAGATGAACATGGTGGTCACCCGGAGCGAATGTCATCTTCAGGTGCTATGCCCATTTCGTGGGTGGGGGACGCCAGTTCCTTTTACCCGCTCCATCGACTCTACACAGATCATGCAAGCTGTGCATAGGGATTCAGGATCTTGGGCTGCTGGGTTCCTGCCTCTAGGTGGAGCTCACATTGATCACTTCACTGTTGTTCTGCCGCTGCCTCCGGCCCCTCTGGCCACCATAGTTTTGCACTCTGGTGACATTAGCAGGGCAGTTCTACTGCCCTCCTGCATTACTCTCCGGCAGGCACACGGTTATATGGCTTTATTAGGTGTCGTGCCAGGGCTCCAGGTCTTAGATCCTCCCTCGCTCAGGCGCATAGGCGGTTATGAAGATGAACCTATCCGTCTCCGGCATGGGGACACTTTCGAGCTTGTCGCAGGCCCCTGGCACCCACACATGCGGCAACATGAGGCGTTTGTCGTCCCAGACCTGCAGCAGATGCCGCACCTCAATGTCTGGCATGTTACTGTTCAAGTTGCGAAAGGAGGTTGGGCATCCGTCTGGAGTACGACAGATGAAGGCTCGAGCTGCCACGCGCGGCATTGGGTCCCTGATGGTTCAGTCTGGTCTCCCAAGTGGCTCCACTTTAGCGTCGACGGGCGCCCCTTGGCGCCAGGCCGGTGGGTACCTGCGGCTTATCTTCCGGAACATGACGTCAGCTTCGTTGAGCAACCAGACCCTCTGGCTGTCCATGTCCTGTTGATGCAACCATACGACCCTACTGCCACTGCTTGCAGGCGTCTGCTGCTCGACTCGTCAGCCGAGCGTTCCGCCGCCAATCGTGTTTCTGAAAACTGGCAACTGCGCCCAGACATACAGACCCGCGTCGTGCTTCCTTGGCCTCGGAATGGTGACGTGATGGTGCCCCGCATTCCGCGTAATGCCTTTCATACTGGCATTTTCCCTGTGAGCTCTGCCGTCTCCTCTTGCGGGCACTGGGCTGCTCGGCATGGGATGTTTAGTCTCTTGGCTTTCGCGCTTGCCTCCCTAGGGGGCACTGCACCGACCAATCAGCTGCCGGTCACGTCAGCACGTGATGGTCTTCTCACCGGGGTCCTTATTGCTGCCGTGTTGTGTCGCAGCCGGGTGTTTGGCTGGCTCCTGTTGGCCCACGCTACTCTCGCCATGGTCGTGCCACCCGTAGAGCAGCAGCACTTGGCACCGGTTCCCGTCGGGAAATTTCCGTGGCGCGTGCCCTCTCAACAGCGGATATGTGGGGAGTCTGTTTTGCCTGAGTCCCGTGCGCGATTGCTGTCCCCCTTCTGCGGAGATGGAGACGTTGTGGAAGTTTGTCCGGATACGCCTGTGGAGGATGTGCGTATCGCGCTCTCCGGGGCAGAGCCCTACTGGTTCTGTGAAATTGTCCCAGTTTGGCCTTCGATATGGCCTCAAACGACTGTTTATGTTCCCCTTCCGACCGGGGGAGACCTCGTCTGTGTGGTAGTAGCTTCTCCTGAATGGCAACTTGCTGTGTTGATGCCGCGCAGAGCGGATCAAGAATGGTTGCTCGCCTATCTCCGGCGCATTACCCCGGGGCCCATCTTTTCACTGCATCCCCCCCTGGCCGCGCGTTCAGCAGAGGTCTCGCCCCGAGGAGCCCTTGATTGGCGGTCTGGGGACTTGCTGCTGACATTTCAGTGCGGCAGCACTGGCGCCACCTTACGAGCTGCCAACCTTTGTGTCACCCCACCATGTCCGGCACGTCGCTATATGGAACTACGATTTCATAGTGCAATGCAACCTGCCTCTGCTTATATGGCGGGTCGGTCGCAGGCCGTCTGAAACCGTCATGCCGCCGCCAGTCCGATGGGTCGCCTCGGAGCAGACCTTCACGGGAAGGTTCGGTATTAAGTACCCAGGTAGGTGGGTTCCCGTGCCCTGGGCACATACCGACAGGGTAGTGCTATGTCAGTGTGCCGAGGCTTCTGACCACTGTAACATCATTTTGGAGACCTGCCATGATGGGCACCTACGAGGTGAGTGCATCACTGTCTCCACTTCCTCTAGCCGCTATTCGCTGTCCCAACTTACCGGCGCGTCCCCCGATGCTCTATCCCTTCTTGGACATGGGGTCGATTCGGTTGAACTTCCGCCATTGCGGGACGGCGACACCATATTTCATGAGGCTGCGCCTGTTACGGATGGAGCGGGGCGTCGAGGACCTGGGTCCGTCCTCCTTGCTCTTCTCTGCTGGTCCTCGCGCCGTAGAGGGTCGCTGGCCTTAGTAGGTTTCTGGTGGATTATGTCTGACATTTGGGTCGTTCCCGCACGTTACCCTCAGGTATCTCACGGGCCACTTCCCGGAGAGGTTCGGCGACAGGGGCGCGGGGTGCCCTCTGTCACAGGTGCCGCACCCATTGGGCGAGTCTGGTCTATGTTTTACTGGACACTGGCCCAACTCGGAAAATATTTGCCTGCATATGGTTCCCCTGTTTGGGTGCGTCAAGACCAGGAGTGGGTCAGCAACCTTGATGAGGTGTGCAAGTTACAGGCACGGCTGCACAGTCTGTGGTGGTCGAGACCGTTGCGGGATGGGCTGCCGATTCTTTTCCCGTCTACCTATCACGCTGCTTGGGGCTCTTTCCCACGATGGACGGGTGGTGTTCCTGATTCTCTGCTGATTTCCACGGATGGCAGTGGGTTACGAGGAGGCTCATGGGCCTTTGCTGTCTGGGCTTGCTATAAGTCCTCTTGGTATCGTATTGGATGGGACGGCATGGATCTTTCTGCAACGCCCTGGTGCCATGCCGGGGGTTGCACACCGATACAGCAACAGTCCTACAGTAGTGAGCTTACTGCTCTCCAAGCTGCCGCTATTTGGTGCCTGTCTGCTATTGACCAGTGGCAATTATGGATGGGCGCTTCCCCCACGCTGGTCACCATGGTGGTTGAC